ATAAAAAATACGCGAAACTGTTTAAAACTAAAAGTTGGTCCTGGCGAAACTTGCCCTTGTGGCATGGCCCCGGAGAATGCAGAGCATGCCCTTTAGGGACATCTCCCTGCACAGGCAGGCGCGATCCAAACACCCCACTCAAGAAAAAAACTATATGGGGCATCCGTAGATCTGGAGATCACATCCACATAGTAGGACTTGTTTAAATCACCGAATAGTAAATTATTTATGAACGCAGAAGAAGAAGAAAATCATCTTCTAATACACTTACCATAATTAGACAAGCCGTTATCTAAAACCATTTGACAAATATTTCCAATTAAGAAAGACCTGTAAACGCGAATACAAGACGAATACTTATATACCTGTACACATCTAGGGACAGTTGAAGAGACTAACCTAGCATAGAGATGCCTGGAAAGGTCTGGGCTGACGTCTCTAAAGGTTTGACAAGCTTATATTACCTAACCAATTGTAATGTTTTCAATTGTAATTTTCCTTTTCAAAAAATAGAAACGATAGTTTCGAAACACACAAGATTTAATTTTGATTATAATTTCATCATGTTTTTTCTAATTATAACTTCTGCGATGATGGGGGGGGGGGGGGGGGCAGTGAACATACACATTGAATGGATGATGTTTACAAGATTTTTTAAAAGACAAATAGTGGATTTGTTTATTTGAAGCATTGACGAAAGTTATAATCCATTCCCATATTAGACAATATTCCTTTTGAATTGTTGAACTAATTGTTTTTTTCGGTTATAATAAATCAAATTTAAATTTAAATCTCATTAAATAATTAAAGGAAACACTCATTCTTTTAAAGTTGTCATTGTATTTAAAAAATGAGAAATTGTAGAATGTAGTGAGCATGGAGGTAAGTTATTGTAAAAATGCATAGAGAATGTAGACGGCAACAAAACTTACAGATAGAAAAATGTACAATTCTACCCGAACCAAATATCAAGATGCTTTGCTTGTCACTTCATAGGCAGGTTCAGCAACAGTTTAACTTTTTTATACTCCATACGCCTAGTTTTAACCAAATAAACCATACAATTTAGATTTATATACACACCGAAATGAACGAAAGTTTTATTTATATCTACATTAAAAAACGTGACAACGAAAATCAATAATTCAGTATACACCCTTTACGTAAAAAATATACTCTACGTTTCTAGTCATAATTTAAGAGTTTTACAACAAATTAATTGTGTTTAATATTAGGTTGTTTAGAGTTAGGTAATTCGTACCACCATCTTTTTGCTTTCCCTGACTGAAAATAACGGCAACACTTTGAAATCAATGCCGATGATGAATTCTATGTGCTGATAAACAAGTCATGGAGTCGATCGTAAAAGAGAACCAGTAAGTCAGGTTTTGTCATTTTCGCGTATTTTATTTATACTTTTGTACTTTTATACAACAGTCCACTTCATTGGTAAGTAAGTATTGTTTAGGTAAATTTTACCAATTACCATCTCTCTCCAATGCATTTAAGTGTGACGTGTCAACATGATTTTCACTTTATAGGGCGTGACATCTGATTTTAGCTTGCCTTTCTCTCTGGAATTGCTTCCATAACCTTTCTCCAACCAAGAACAAGCGACAAGGCAACAGGTTCTTTTGATTTTTAAGTTTTGAAGTTTTCTCTCTTGCTTTTTTGAATTCTCCAAAGTGAGTCTAGTGGCATCTTTATAAACAATATGAAGTCCAATTCATGACAAAATAATATTAAAGGCACTTTATAATAAAGGTGTTAGGGATCACTGAAAAAAAAATCAATTAATAGAAACTAAATTTTAATAAAAGGATATGCAGTACAATATATTGCGTCGTACACACATCATTCAACACCGTATCCACTTATATCACATACTAGTTCACTTTTTAGTTCACTGACTATAGCCTTGTGAACGCAGTCTTTTCATAACATAACACACACAACCAAATTGCTATGTACAAGTTAGGTATACCTGCCATTCAATGGGATGCTATTTTACAAATACAGGACTTTATATTGGGTACATGTTTGAAAAAATAGGCTGTTTGATTTAAAAAAAAAAAAAAACATCAATTCTTAAATATTCAAAATGACGGTAATACCTTATATATCACACAATTACTGACCGATCATTAATGTGATCAATTACATAATTAAACAACTAATTTTTGAACAATTGTTTGGAATTATTGAGTATAAATACATTGAAATGAAATAAAATTGTGCACTACACTTTAATGCATTGTATCACATGTATTTTAAGTACATATATGTTAACACTTGTGAAGATGTAAGTAGGATATATTTCATTTGTAAACAAACACAATAAGTTTCGGTGAAATGGTTTGTAGTAAATAATGTAGGTTAGATGATTTTCAGTTACATGTTCCAATTATAAAATGTCCAGCCTTATCTGAGTGTTTTTCGTTTCGCATACCGTCAGATATATGAACCTATGAACAGGGCATTACCCCCACCCCCTGTCAATTACCCCAAGGACATCCCCCCCCCCCCCCGACATTAACCCTTTGTCAATTACCCCCGACAAGTAGAACATTTCCTCTCCCTCCCCCCCCCCCCCCCCACCAAACATGGCTCTACGACAAATTTCCGGAAGACACTTACCCTAATGCCGTTTGCCCAAAAGCCGATTTCTTGAATGGACACTTGTCCGAATGCGATAATGAGCAAATGGACACTTGTCCAAATGCGACAAATGCCCGAAAGCCGCTTTCGGGAAAACGTCCAGCTCTCCCCGGACATAGATTAAGGTACAGTTAGGGCAAGGGCTAGGGCTAGGGCTAGGGCTAGGGCTAGGGCTAGGGCTAGGGCTAGGGCTAGGGCTAGGGCTAGGGCTAGGGCTAGGGCTAGGGCTAGGGCTAGGGCTAGGGCTAGGGCTAGGGCTAGGGCTAGGGCTAGGGCTAGGGCTAGGGCTAGGGCTAGGGCTAGGGCTAGGGCTAGGGCTAGGGCTAGGGCTAGGGCTAGGGCTAGGGCTAGGGCTAGGGCTAGGGCTAGGGCTAGGGCTAGGGCTAGGGCTAGGGCTAGGGCTAGGGCTAGGGCTAGGGCTAGGGCTAGGGCTAGGGCTAGGGCTAGGGCTAGGGCTAGGGCTATGGTTAGTTTTGGTTTTTTTATTAAGTTTTAGGCTGAGGTGAATGCTTAGGGTTTGGCCTTTTTTTCCCACGTTTTCTTTAAATTGCTTTCGCGTCTGTTTGTTTTGTTTGTTTGTTTGTTTGTTTGTTTGGTTCTCCATTCAAATCTTGCGATCGAAATTTCGGGCACTTCCCAGTTAGCTGGCGCGCTGAAATTTTCAGGGAAGCTTTGTTTCCGATGACAATAGAATATTCAATTGTTATTATTACTAAATAGATCCAAGGAAACATTTTATTGATCATTTTAGACCGCTATATATTTGTACTAAAAAACGTGAGGAAAAAGGGACATAACCCAGTAATTGTAATTTGATGAAAACAAGGTTCGGTATTCTCCCTCTTTTGGCTTACTGAGTTTTTGGTCACGCGGTGTTTGTGTACAAACAACCGGAACAACTGGTGGCCAGTATGGGGGAGACGATATGGTCGAGTGGTTGGGCACACAATTGCTAACCCACTCGACACGGGTTCAAGGCACGTGTTTTTTACGAGTTGTCTTCGTTTACCCCAAAAAAAAAGTGAATGCGAAAAGATAAAATCGATAGCAAGATTTTAATGCAAACAAACAGACAAAGAATAAAAAGTAGAAAATAAATATCATTAAAAAAGTTTTAAAAAACCCACGTTTTCTGATTGAACTAAAAAGTAGAAAATAAATGTTACACATCACAATAATGCAAGCGATCACTCTACTATAAGCGATGAAAAAAATTCATTGTACGGCTAAATATTACTAGTAATCATTAGCTTTACCAATTATCTAATGGAATAGTAGTGAGTGAAATCTTTATTTGAAAATATTTTATGTTTTAGGTAAAGTTCCCGTATGTTTCGTCTCCAGCTACCTCAACTATGGAAAGAAAAAAAAATGTTAAAGGCATGTATGTGCTATTTCTTACACGAAATGTACATTTAGCGATTGTATACAGGCTAAACCACACATTTCATTTTTCGTTAACAAAGGGCAGATGAATTGCAGTTTATTTATTTTAACGACCAAAGTGTCAGCACCATGCCTTGGTTCACCTATCGTAAAGTACCCTGCAAAGGACTCCAACGCTGAAGTCGATCTCGAATATTTTCCTCTTAGCAGTGGTAATTTATACTATTTAAACATGCTGATATATTAAATACAAATACCAAGATACTATATTTAGCACCATTTTAAATTTAGACCAATGTCGGCAAAACTGCACCGATTGTCAGTGTTAAACAATAAACCGCTTTCATTTAACCACGAAACATTTTGTCACCTTTATTTATTGCAGGTTACTCCGTATTTTATCGTTATCTCTGAAAATCATTAGCTTAGACTTCATAAAATTTAAAAGGTAAACTTAAGTATAAAAAAGATAATCTCTAGTAGTAAATCAAAAGAACTTATGCTTAAATCTTAAAAAATAATTACTTGTCATATTCTTTGGCCTTGCAGCTGCCGAAGTCAAGGTGGTCACGATTGTTTTGTAATCTTTTAATTTCGGATCATTTGTAAATCCGCCTTTCTTTCCATTAATTTCTAAAGGTAAAATATCTCAAAATGGTCAATACAAAGACTCAATTAAGTTATTTTTTTATTGGTCTATACTATAGGGAGCAGTATTCATATAAATTCTATACATTAAAATTATACTAACCTAATAAATTTCACAAATGTAAAGAAAAGTATAGGACATTGCCATTTAAAAAGTAATAGCATTGAATGCTTTTATTATTAAAGAAGTGCTAGAATATTTTTATTGTTTCGCTTATACTATATTTGTTATTGAAATTATCTTCGAAAATGTTCACTTTTTCAAAACTCAAAAGAGGTAGGGGCCTATACTGCATGAAAAAAATGGACTATGTATTACATTGATTTAGAATTTTCTTACCATGAAGCCGCACATTCAGGTCAAAGCTATAGACATCTAAGTTAGAAATCTCTGTTTCTGTAGGGGTCATATATATAAATAATAAATAAATATCTAAGAAATAACATATATATATATATATAATATGTTATAAAGTAGAGTGGTGAGAAAAGGGGCAAGTAGAACTGATTAGTAAGACATCATATTAAAATGGCGTTCAGGCTCTTGTCAGTGGCGGAACTAGAAAAATAGGGCCACCCCGCAAAAAATTTTTTTAGGCCCCCCCATATATATATATATATATATATATATATATATATATATATATATATATATATATATATATATATAAATACAATATATATATATATATATACAAACACAAAATACGAACATAGGAATAGGATACTCATTACTGGCCTGTTCGGGTTTTCAAAAAACAATGTTGTTTTTTTTACTTTCTCGTATATACGAAATATAGAGAAAGTCTTGTAATCGTGCAAAAAAAAAAAAATCGAGATTTTTACAAATCTCGACGTTTTGCATCTCACTGATACGGAAAAACATAATTTTGCAATCTTGTCCGTATGTCTGTGTGTCTGTGTGTGTGTCTGTGTGTGTGTGTGTCCGTGTGTAAACACGATAACTTGAGTACCGTTACAGCTAGGTTGATGAAATTTCATATATAAGTATTTTATCAAAATCCTAGATCCGTATCAACTTTTGAGCGATTTCCGACAACCGGAAGTGGTACTTTTTCTACTTTGAATTTTTCAAAAGCCTATAACTTGAGTACTATTTCAGATAGATAAATGAAATTTCATACGTAAGTAAAAGATCTAATTATCTACCTTCTATTAAATTTTGAGTCATTTCCGTTGACTGGAAGTAGTACTTTACGCTACTTCCGATTTCTCAAAAAACTAATGTGAATTTTAAAAGTAATAATAATATTGCGCACTATTATGCGCTTTTTTATTTCGCGTTCACTTGGTGTGCAATTAATTTGTCTACGAGATTTTATTCTATTTTTAAAACTTTAAGTATTTAAAATGGATTAAAAATCATGTCTATAGCCCGAGTTCCCATCCCCTGTTATTTTATATAAGAATATTCGAGAAAGTTTAGGGGAGATCACTCCCGGTTTATTTTAAAGTTAAATTTATATTATTAATTTTAAATACATTTCCTTTTTATACAATGTCATTCTTTAGTAAATACTTTATAAAAAAATAAGTAAGAGAAGCAATTGCTTTTTAATTCGTTTAGTACAAATCTATTAAAAGCAGCTTATGAGCACCTCTATTTGACTATTTAAAAAAGGGAAATAAGTCATGGAAGTGGTTTCAACGTTTGCTTATCTTTGTTAAGTTTAATTGTAGGAGAGTGAGGACTCGGCTTTCACATTGGTTCAAAAACAAAGGGAAAAAGAATATACTAGAGCTTGGGTTGGTGTTAAAAGAATAAAAATGTACCAACCGCAGCTACGGTAATCGTTTTACAAAACAACCATCAAGTCAAAAATGCAAGAAAATTAGATTTTTTTTAACCTATAAAAAAATTTATTATGGTCGGCTGTGGGCCCCTAAATGGCGTGGTCCCCCCCGCATTGCGGGGTCTGGCGGCACTGTAGTTCCGCCCCTGGCTCTTGTGCTAAACAAGCTTTGCTTGGCTTAGTATGCCGAAAGGTATTTATTTTCATATTAAATTATTTTTAACAAACAAAGTAGCCAATAACATTTTAAATCAATGTTGTGTTTTCTACACTTTTCCAAACATACATATAGAATTTTATATATATTCATTAAAAAAACACATTAATTTAAAACGACATTTAATTTATCTTTACCGAAATATAATAACTTACCGTAAGCACCTTTACAATGGCTTGTTTCAAAATCTGGAAGTTGAAAGAAATATAAAATTAGCCTTCGTTTTACCAAAAAAATTGTCAGATCTTTTGACAGTTGAATACGTAGGAAAATGAGTCTCTAGGTAAAGTAAGAGGTGATAATACTCAGAGATACACCCTCAGCACAACTTTACATATATATATATATATATATATATATATATATATATATATATATATATATATATATATATATATATAGGCCTAAACTAGCCATGATTAATACTTCAATATAGTAACTGGAGATAAACTTTATTAACAAATGTCTTCATAATAAAAAACCAATTAAATTAAGATTACAAATCTGCTAATGTATAACGAAAATAACTGTTTGTTAGTAAAATATTTATGAGTTTTAAAATAACTAATTGAAAATAATTCTTTAAACATAGTGTAAGGAATATTAATTCAATATTTGTAATCTCGTAAAAAAAGGTAAAATACTTTTAAACATCCAATTTACTTTCTTTCCTTAACCAGTAAATGGCTAATATCACTCCAGCAAGTAAAGTAACAGCACCAATAGAACCACCAATAGCAGCCGGTAAGTCTTCATTGGTATTAGATGTCATTCCTATATTTTAAATGTAACAATAAGACTTAAGTTTAGATTTGATTTATTATAATAGGAAAAAAAATAGTTTTATAATTCAAAATGAGCATTGTCTCAAAAGCCTTGAACTATTTGAATAAGTTTAGATCATATAGAATACTAGACTACCCGTTATCTAGTTAGATAACTGTGGGTTTTGGGGGGTCATCCATAAATGACATCACGTCTGCCAGCACTTATCATCCCAAAGTCACCAGACCCCACATTCAAAAAGACGTTTTTTTTATATTTTAAAAACTCTACTAAACTCTACTTCACCTGCCCAGTGTCCCGCCAAGTCTCAGACATGTTTATATTTAAAAAAAAAACGGTTCCGGCCGAGCATGGCTCTGACAACACTATCCTTTCATATGCTGAGAACATAGAAACAGGTTAACTCTACTTCACCTGCCCTGTGCCCCGCGAGGTCCTGATAGTCAACCGTATCATTCACACGTAGGCCTTAAGAAAAAAATTGAAAACATTGTTGTAGAAAGAAAATAAACCTTTTTACTATTACTAAGTTCATTGTTCTAAACTTTTATAATTAATGTGGTTAATCTACCTATGAATATATCAATAATCAATTAACGGCTTTAAATTAGTTTGTAATTAACAGTGTGTTTAAGAAAGAGCAATATTTACCACCCAAAACCTATTTTACAGCTCTACACATAATGGAGATTCTCCCCAATAACAAATCAAAAAAAACATACAAACAAAAAAATGAGTTATCAAACGTCACTATTCAGTCAAAGTTTAACCATTGTTCTAACACTTTAAAATTATTGTGGTTAATCTACCTATGAATAAATCAATAAATTAATTAACGTCTTTATATAAATGTATGATTAACAGTCTGTCTGCAATCAAAAATTATTCTCTACCTACATACTATTTTACAGCCCCCCATATAGAGCAGTTTCCTTACAGTACGAAATCAGACAAACAAAAAAAATAAATATTCAAACATGTAAAAAAAGTTGAGTTCTAGTAGTATACTAGAATACCCGTCATCCGTTGGATAACTGTGGGTTTCGGGGGTCATCCATCAAAAAACATCACGTCTGTCACTCAGAGGCAGAGCGACCCTTCCCGGCGCCCGGGGACAAAATTTTAAACCCCCCCCCCCCCAACATTTCGATTTTCAACCCCCCTCGAACTTTTTATGTGCACCCCCCCCCCACTCAAACTTTCGATTTGAACCCCCCTCAACCTTTCAATTTATTTTTCCAAACCATTTTGGCGCCCCAACATATGTCCCCCCCCCCCTCCACCTCCCCCCGCCTCCCCTCCCCTTCCCCCCCCCCCGCCTCCCCTCCCCTCCCGCCCCCCCCCCCCTCCTCGCTACGCTACTGCAGTGTCACTTATCGTCACAAAAAACAGACCCCACATTCAAAAATATGTTTCTTATCTTTTAAAAACACCGAAAACACCGATTTCGGACTATCCCTTCATATACTGACGTCACATGTGACCTACTCAACTCTACTTCACCTGCCCAGTGTCCCGCCAAGTCTCAGACAACATGTTTTTATCGTTTAAAAAACGATTCCAGCCGAGCATGTCTCTGACCACACTATCCTTTCATATGCTTAGGACAAAGAAACAGATGAACTCTACTTCACCTGCCCTGTATCCTGCCAAGTTCAGATAGACAACTTTATCATTCACATCTAAAAAACAAAAAAAAAATTGAAAAAATTATATATTTGACATATTGGTCTAGAACCTGTACCACCCGCATGAGAGCGGACTACGCTAACAACTTATCTATTTACTCGTGACGACACAAATGAATTTTTATACTATACTATGAGTCTCCTTATCCAACTTTATTTACGCGCGTAGATCTAGAACTAAGTCTAGTAGCAGCAACTTTCAAATTAAATTTTATCTTAACTTAGCCAAACAAAGATTTATATAAAATAAAGAAGGTCTGAAATTATCTAGAAAAAAAAATCTAGATCTAGATAGAATTATCTTGATCTAGATTCTACGACTCGTTTGCTTAAGTCTTAAGTTTAGTTTTTCTTGCTAGATCTAGAATCTAGATCTAGATCTAATCATTAGCTACGCTCATAGGCCCGGAGCGAGCATTTTAAAATTACCATATTCCAAACAAAGATTTATATAAAATAATAAAGGTCTAAAATAGTTTAGTATATTGAAAATCATTATTAACTAAATCTAGATAGAAAATTATCTATATTTTAGATCTACGACTGAGCTATATTTAGAATTTACGTTTATAATTTAGCAAACTTACCGGCATCGAAGCCGCGTATGAATCTTAAGCTACGCCAATAGGCCCGGATCCAGCATTTCAAAATTTGCATATTCGAAACAAAGATTTATACAAAATAATAAAGGTCTAAAATATTTTAGTATATTGAAACTCATTATTATCTAAATCTAGATAGAAGTATCTATATTTTAGATCTACGACTGGTTTGCTTAAGTCTTAAGTTTAGTTTTTCTTGCTAGATCTAGAATCTAGATCTAGATCTAATCATTAGCTACGCTCATACACATAGTCATAGGCCCGGAGCGAGCATTTCAAAATTACCATATTCCAAACAAAGATTTATATAAAATAATAAAGGTTTAAAATAGTTTAGTATATAGAAACTCATTATTATCTAGTTATTATCTAGATCTAAATCTAGATAGAATTATCTATATTCTAGATCTACGACTGGTTTGCTTAAGTCTCGTTTTTTTTGGATTGTATTTATTTATAACTATTAAATCTTTGATTTGACCTAGATCTTGATTCTAGATCTAGATCTATAAATAACTTTCTTGGACAAATTTTAGATCTAGAGAAATTTATCGTAAAACTAAATGAAAAAGACAGTTGAAAATTGATATAAGTGTTGGAACGTAATAAATACAGCAAACGGACGTATTGTTAAAGTTATGACCGACAGAAAATTAGATTTAGAACGCGTTAAACTTGTGAATGGGAACACAATTTTCTTCGATAGACGCCGCCATTTTATTGTACTAAAGAGTAAACAAAAACATGTGACGTCACGGTCCCGCCGAGTGTAGTGGTCGTTTTAATCTTTTAAAAAAAAATGGGTTACTCTGCATATGAATAAATCAATAAATTAATTAACGTCTTTAAATAAATGTGTGATTAACAGTCTGTCTTAAAACAAAAAATTTTCTCTACCTACATACTATTTTACAGCTCTCCACGATGAGTGCAACCATGCGAGATAGTCGATCAGGCAAACAAACAAACAAACAAAAAAACAAACAAAAAAATAAATATTCAAACATGTAAACAAACTTGACTTTTAGTAGTATATAGATAGATTTAAAATCATAAGCAGTTTGAGCGTTTGTCTATCTTTCATACTACAGTTCATGTATTGTTTTTGTACTAAGCAACAGCATGAGATATTGACTGCAGTACACAGTTCTTTATACAAAACTACTATCAATGTAGACCAGAAAAAAGTATTCTCCAATACAAAACTACATTTAAAAAAAAACGTGTTGGGTTTTGGCCTGCCCCCCCCCCCCCCCCATCGAATTCATTGCATCATCTTATTGTAGTCTTGCCACTGATGCATTAGAAAAGTTAAATATTTTAACAAGAATTAATGTAATAATACTCTAGTGTAAGGGGTGAAGAAAGAGGAATGACATGAAAAGTATTGAGCAAATGAAAAACGCCTACCCTTTTTTTCAACTATTTTAAAGTAGTAATAAAGAGTCCCTTCTGAGTTTGAAATAATCATAGTGTAGTTCGCAAAATAAGTGTTGGTAACGTTTTTTATAGTGTACAATATAGTAGTGGTTCCTTTATAATGCTCATATTCTACACTAAACTCATCAGTTGAGTTCGTCTGATTTGAGATTGAATGTACGAAGCTGTCATCAGAAGTAGAAGGCTGAAATTGTACTTCCGTTAGATTTGGAAAGGGATAGCCAAACACACTGATGTTTATTTTAGCCATGTCTCCAAATTTAAAGGAATATATTTTGTAGCCATCAGTTGAATTCACTAATTCAGCTGAACCTAAAAAAATGTAGATGAATTTACTATTAATCAAAATTGTTTTTAATGTAACATTTTAATTAATCTTTTGATTAAGTAATAAAATGCATTACATATTTCGATGTTTGTTACGCTATGTTAAAAGAAATGTTCCCAAATGTTTTGCATGTTTTTAAATAAACTTTACTGAATGAAAAATGTATTGAATTAATTAAGCGATATTTTTATAAGAAACAAAAATTCGATTGAAAACTATTCTAACGAAAATAGTCTAGCCATGATTCTTACATTTTATCTAGATCATTAGATTGTTGATTAATGCATGAATGTTTATATCATTTATTAAAGTTCTAGTTATTTTAATAATATTTTTATTAGCTTTTGCCATTAATACAACTTTATAATTGATTGCTATGTTATTATATTGCGATTGTTTTATACCTTTATAAAGAAATTTAATTTCATATCATTTTGAAAACCATATTTTTAATAAATTGAATAATATATGTATTAAAATCAATTGATTGTATGTAGCTAATCTCTCGATTTCTAATGATATAAGTCCAGAATGTTTGAATATGCTTGCACTTCATACAACACAACGACACAGTATTGATTATACAAATACTTTTATAACTTACACTTCACGTACACAGAAACAGATTGTTCTGTTTTGTACAAATTATTGTTGCTCGCTGAACACTTGTAGACGCCACTGTCCCTGCATTTAGCTGTGAAGTTGTGTTCCTCTACAATGATAGCGGCATGTCCACTTTGTCTTGTTATATTGTACCAAGGCATAGGGTTCCCATCTGTTGTACATGTTAAATCAACCGTGGAATTCAAGTCGACTTCAAGCTTGTCGGTCTCATTGTTTGCCGTGAATTGTGTTATATTTACATTATCTGCAGGTTAAGAAAAAACTTTGCAAGGACTGAGGCAATTGTTTTTTTTTGTAAATCAATTTGTGAATCGAAATAAAGTTATGTGAGAAAAAAAACATTATTTCTGATAACCAACACGGATCAGTTGTTTATACATACGTTATTTTGAGAGCAATTGCATTTCGCCCCGCCGGAGTGCCGACCTTCAAAAAAGCTATTTTATTTCACAGAAAAACTTCAATGAGTATTCTCATGAACATGCCAAAGTATCACGGCGCCCGGATGAAAGGTAATGTTTAGTTATACATAAATGACATATACACAAACAGACATATATATTTTAATTTGTTTATACAATAGCGTACCCACCAGAGCAATTCTCCGGTCTCAGAATAAAGAAAAACCTGTAAGCTATACTAATTGCGTATTTTTAGACATGTGATCTCACTTTCTGACTGTATCATGCAAAACAATTGTGAAGATTACCTCATTAGCAAATAAACTAAACTTTTAACTCTACAGGAGTGTTTATTTAACGCATTAAAATTTATTAATAGAAGTGTTATATACGAGGTTCTAATGATGTTTTTATAGATTTATAATTTCTGTTTAGATCATCTAAAAATAGACGGGTATTTTGTCATCGTAAAGTTACAAAACTTTACATGAGGGGTCCCTAGAGTTACAAAAAGTTATTTATCGAAGCATGGATATTTATAGATAAACAACTGCTATTTTTAGAAGTGTAACGTATCTGACAAAACTCAACATAATGACATAACGTATTACTGATTATTGCTTAAGGACAAAAGGAAACCTTTAACTTAACGTTTCCTGCAAAAAAATCTAGCCTGGTTAATTCCCCTTAATAGTCAATAATATTCCTTATTTATTGCAAAGACATCCTTACAAAATTTCAAAGTTTAACGGCAAAGGGATGAAATGTATAGTAATTCATAAAGACATACACCCACAAATAGTTTCACTGATATATATGTATATATATATATATATATATATATATATATATATATATATATATATATATATATATATATATATATATATATATATATATATATATATATATATATATATATATATATATATATAATTATAATTATAATTATAATCAGTAATAAAAGGATATTATATTGAAAAAAATAGAAGCGGTGTTTTTATAGCCACAATGAAGAGAAAACATTTATGGCCAGTACAAAGGGATTAAATATTTTATTAAATGCACTTTTACTGGGTTTTATAGTTGGACAAAATAACTTCAATGTATGTAATCAAGGTACATTAAACATTGTAGTTTTAAAATCAATCATGTAAAAAATGTATTAGACTTATAACTTTTTTATATGCTTATAGAGATATTGCTGATACTTACATGTAACATTCAAAATAATCAAAGTCATGTTGTTCATATAGCATCCTGTAATGTGTCCAGCAGTGCATGTACAGTTTTGATTGTTAAGACTTCTGGAAATTGATTGTAGAGACAACTGGGCTGTAATGGTTGAAGGTTTACTCCAAAAATGTCCACATTTGATCACAATATTTTGACCTCCATCAACATCACAGGTGACGTTATAAGTTTGATTTTCCTTCAGAACTAGTTTGTTGTTGTCGTGAAGTGCTTCAGAGATTTTTAGCAAAGGTTCCGAGGATGGCGGCGCTATACAATTGTATAAATTTTAATTTAACGTTTAAAATGTTACACCATTAAATGGCTAGCAATAAAAAAATTGTATGATAAAATACAGCAATATCAGGAAATATTATCTCACAAGCACATCTCATGATTATTTTTTGTGCGCTTTTTTATCCTGTGATCTTGTTTTAAGATTATTTCTCCGTGATTCGGTTTTTCTGAGATAATTTCTAAATTTATATATTTTTCGATAAAAAAAACATACAAACACAAAATAGCCATGCAGTAAGAAAAACCCAAGGGAGAATGAATATATGTATAGATTTAAATTAAAAATTAGACGTTTCTATAGTTTTTTTTTATACATTAAATTTAAAATTGCACTTGCTAATTTTAACTAATGTATATTAATTTTATGTTATTCCACTAATGTTTCGTAAATTTGTGGTAATTATTTTACCTCGAACAAACACTTGTAATGATGTGTTGACATTTATCTCCTTGTACTTGGAGTTCTCAACAAAACAACCAAAGACAAGAACACCAGCAGATCTTGGTTGAAATGATGAAATATAATTACAGCTGGAGCTGTTGTGTTGGGTGGAGAAACTCAGTGGTAAATTGTTCTGGTACATTGTTATAGAGGGCTCTGGGTTCACTGTGGCCTTCAACACGTGACATGCAAATATGATGTTGCCAGTGGTTGGGCAAAGGTTGTATATGTCAGTTTGGCTGGAAACGTCTTTTCTTTCTATCGAAGCATTAGTAGGTCCGTCTGAAATTAAGAAAATGATTGTATAAAAATGTAAAAAAGTGTGATATTTTTTAATAAAATAGCAGCATAGAAATATGGTTTACGTTTTTGTTTACATTATCGTACCCTGATTTAAGAAAATTATATCTATAAAAATATGCAATTTATTAGCATATTATTTTTAAGGACTATTGGATGACTTAAACAAGTTCAAGTCGATTACTTAAACTACGTTTGAATATTTATACAGAGTCACACACACATAGTAAATTAACGCACATTAAATTTTACTTACATGAAAATTTGGCCACAAAAGTAATACTTGCACCACTCAATGTACTGTTCCACATATATTGTGGCTGACATTTAAATACCTTGCTTGATACACCTATTAGAGACAAAAAACACATTCAGATCTGTGTCGCTAGAAAAGGAATTTACTTACTCAAAAGTAAAATAAATTAAAAATAGTTATCCATAAATGAATTTAAGTTTGGTTTAGTTAATAATGCCACAAAATAAACGCATATTAAAAAGTATACATTAAGAAATTACAATTTCCTTTTCTGGTTGTTTCTTATATTAAACTTTCCCAACAACTATCCATACAGTGGAAAGTCGTGAAGCTGGCGTGTAAAATTGATTTTCATATTTTTAGTTTAAACATTCAAGTATAAACATTCTTATGTAGTTTAGATTCAATTTTAAACTCGAACCTATTATTTTTACAGTTCTTTAAAATTGGTAGATTTTCACATAACAATTTTTAAGTTCTAAATTATAAACATATATATGTTTAATCTTAATAATGATTTTTTTCAGTTTTTTAAAACAAAATTTTAAACATGTCTCAGTTTTCATTAATTAAAGTCAATGGATGTTTACGTAAATATGTTACCAACTTGTCTGTATGTGTTTATTATCAAAACATAAACTTACCACTGACGTTAACCAGTCCAGTCAACACGCCTGTTCCAATAAGTAGATTGTTCTCATCATACCATTGAAAATTTGCAGGTAAGTTACCTGGAGTTGAGTTGGTACATTTACAAGAATAGGTGTCTCCCAGTTTAATGTAATCCATAGAATTGTTCCTACACTCGATCAAAACAGCCACAGGTAGAACTAAGAAAAAACAACGAACACAATTAATATATAAGTAAAGTACTATAAAAACACATACACGCATAATAATACTTTTATTACTTCTTATACTGAGTATTCAAAGTAAACCTCACCCAGATCAATGCTCACGTCATTAGCTCTGACAGCAAACTGTGGACCGTTGATATCAGGATAAAGGTAGGCAGAAAAGACATTTGTACCCAGCTGTAAACCGCCAACTTGTGTTACAAATCTGCAGGTTGTTGTCATGTACTCGTTACCAGAGATGGCGTAGGATGTTGATGTACACGCTGTGTTTGTGTAGTTTCTGTTGAGCTGTTAAATCAATATAAAACGTTTTGCCGTATAGACTATATAATATTAACATAATACGGCTTATACGCGCAATAGTGAACGTTTACAAGCTATAATTTAATGGGTAGGCTACCTAATTGGTTTGATAAAATGCAAAAACAAAGCCTTATATAACCTGGAATATTGTTTTCAATTATAAGTATCATCCATTTGAATAGTATCTGTTCAATAATAGTATCTACGAATATAGTATTACTTAATATCTATATAATTTAAGTTTTTTAGGTGTTATATGTAGGCTACATAAATAAGAATACAAAATATAATACATCTGTTTTTATAAGTTTCATCTAAAGATCTAAATACCCGAATCGATTTAATGTATTTTCGCCACACTTGAGAATCATAACGGCGGGACTGTTTTAGCACACTTTCTAACGAATTCACTAAAAATTAAAATTATAATTGTTCATATATTTTTAAAGCCACTATAAGCGACGTCTATGTACCGACATTTAGACCGACAGATTAAATATACAATTATTATTTTATATTCGGTGCCATTACAATTTTTTTTACAATTTCTGTTTTAAAATGTAACACATAAGGCCTACCATGGTTACCAGTAAGAGGGGGGGGGGGGGTAATTTATAATTTATTTGCTTGCGGGTCCTGTGAAACCGCAACTGTTAATGTATTTTTTATGCTATTTTGCGTGTTATGCTCCATGTGTTCCCATGTCATGTGACCTCTGGGACTTTGGGTAGTTCGGACCTGTGTCCGCGGCATTCAAACCCCAGGCTTCTAATGACACGTCCCACGTGTCCGTTCAGCTCCTGTATTTTCTATGTTCTGTCTAACCAACTAGCTATACCATATACCCTGAACTGGCGTCATCACTCTGGCATTGCCCAACCAACCAAAATCAAAGCACAAAAAAAACGCAAAGATAACACAAACACAAATACAAACACAACTGAAAACAAATACAAACGCAACTATAAACGCAAACCAAAACTAAAACCCAAATACATAACAAACGCAAACATAAACGCAAAGTGCTCACAGTCTAGCCCATGCTTACGCCTGATTCAACTTAGTAAACCAAAATAGTACCCCAACTTATGCGCTTAATTTAAACGAACGTAGGCGCCAAAGCGAAATAGCCTAATAGCACCCTGTCGGGGCGCCGGAGCACGCCCGGTACGATTCAGTTTAAGACTAAGCTTAGACATAGTCTACCGCACGGTTTAAAACGAAAGTATGCACCATAGCGCTCACAGGATATCCCACAGCGCCAAATAGACGCTAGCTGGGGCGCCGACGGAAGCGCCTGATTCAATTTAGTGAACGGCAATAATACCTCTAAGCTTATTCGCAAACAGAAAGATAAAAGGAAGCATAGATGACATTTAGAAGCTGGCTTCTAAACTGTTATTGATTTTTAAAAAAAATTGCGGTGCAAAGCAATGTCATCTGATTGAAACGTTGTAGCTATGAAACATAAACATTGCTATGAAAAGAAATTTGTCTTCCATTTTGACTTTACGATCGAGAATGTAGTAAAACTTTACACTGCTAAATATACAGCTAAAAAGTCTACTTAAAAAAAATTCATAAAAAATGATTTAATAACAAGCTTTTATGTGCTAATGCACTAAAAATAGAAAATAAATTATACACTACTATTTAAATAACTATAAAGAAATGCGTGGGTCACTTTAGTATCTATTGGATACCTTTACTAATGTTAAGGAAGACACCCACGCTTTTCTTTTTAGTTATTTAATTAGTAGTCTATAATTTATGTTCTACTTTGTAGTGCATTAGTACATAAAAGCTTGTTATTAAAGCGTTTTTCATGAAATTTTTTAGTGCTTTACATGTTTTTATTTACAATAGAGTTTCATGACTAAAAACCATTGCGCGCCTATTGAACATGATAACGCGCTTTTGCCGTGATAACGCTTTTGGGTATACATGCCCACTAATTTGGACCAAATTTTAATTAATTCATAAAAATTTAATTAGGCATCCAATTAAGTCAAATTTAATTTCAGACTGCATTGTCTTCTTGTCTTCATGTCTTGACCCACGTGCCAAGTGTGAACCGTATCGGTCAAGTAGAAGTGTCCGAATTTTCGTTCCGGCGTTTCGATCTAGACCGACGACAGACTGATGAATGACGAAGAAATGAGTCAAATTAAAGCTTTAAAAAAAATCATAAAAAACGTTTTAATAAGACGCTTTTATGTACTAATGCACTAAAAATAGAAAATAAATTAAAACTATTTAAATAACTATAAAGAAAAGCGTAGGTCACTTTAGTATTTTTTGGATACGTTTACTAATGTTTAGGAAGAGACCCACCCTTTTCTTTATAGTTATTTAAATAGTAGTTTTAATTTATTTTCTACTTTTTAGTGCATTAGTACATAAAAGCTTGTTATTAAAACGTTTTTTATGAAATTTGTTTTAGTACTTTACATGTTTTTATTTACAATAGAGTTTCATGACTAAAAACCATTGCGCGCCTATTGAACGTGATGGCGCAGCCATTGAACGTGATGGCGCAGCTTTTGAACGTGATGACGAGTGTGGTGTGGTTGGATAGACATGCCTACTAATTTGGTCAAAATTTTAATTAATTCATAAAAAAATAATTAGACATCCAATTAAGTCAAATTTAATTTCAGATTGCATTTTCTTCATGTCTTGACCCATGTACCAACTAAGAACCGTATTCGTCAGTTAGAAGTGTCCGAATTTTCGCTTCGGCGTTTCGATCTAGACTGACGACTGACGAGGAAGTGAGTTAAATAAAAACTTGTAAAAAGTTATTCACTACGCTGAGGTTAATGAAAAAAGACGACGTTCATTATGTTTGGTGCGTCAGACGAAAACGAATTCCCCTTCATGCGCAGAAAAAAAAGACACAGATAATAACCTGCAGGAATTCCCGACCCCGAATAAAGATGTTTTTTTTTTCGCCAACCGTCTTTGATTAAAAAAATAATCAGTAAATAGTATGTTCAGTGTATGAAATAAATAAAAGTCAATATTTGAAAAAAAAAACCTACCCCATTGCACTTGATCAATCCTCACTAATTATGTAATTATTTTTTCCCCAACACCAAAACAAAGTAATAAAAGGTAAAAAAAAAAATTCTCCCCGATGTAATGTTGTTTTAAAAAAGGGAAGTAATTGTGTTTTCCTAATTTATCAAGGTACGTAAGGAGTGCTCAAGAAACAAATGTAACTCATTTTCAGAAACAATTACTATTTTTGTGAAAGATAATACATTTTTAAAAAATTTAGTTTGATGGACATGCCGATAATTATCACTATATGTTTGAAAAAAGAAAATTGTTTTACTACACCTTCAATATAAATTTTCAAATAATTATTTTAGACGATGAGCACTTTAGACGTATAACACTATGACGATAAAGTCTATTATTTTTTTTATAATCTTTTGTAATCAAGGATTGCGCTGTCCGCCACAGAATTCTACTTTATAAATTAGATTACTGCTTTTTATCATACTATTGCTGCATGTTGCTGACTAGGTATGTGATGTATTTTATTTAGAAGATTACTTATTTGCATTATTCATTCTAGTGCTGTATGCTGCGGTTTAGTTAGGTTAAGTATTTATCTTTATAATAGTTTTTGGCAGTCTTGTATACTGGCCGTAACCTATTTTAAGACACCGTGTATTTATGTTAACCTATACGTAGTAGTATATTCAGAGATGTAATCTATGTTAAGCCGTCTTAGAATCCCTAACTTTTGTCAGGTGCCAATCAGAATATGGTAGACTCAAGGACGTTCTACAGATTCGAGCAAGGGATACGAACGTATTACAGTCGGGTTAACAATCGGAAGTTGTTAGTGTTATGGTAAGATTATTTATGTTAGGGTGGAATTTAAATATTCGTTTAGTGTATGTTGAGGTTAAGTATAAATCGGTAGGATACTAAAATTTCGATTAGTAACAATTATTTCAATTTTTTGTTAGTTTTTTTTGGGATGAGTTGTATTTTCATAAATAAGGGAGACATACTTTAGAAGTTTTGTTACTATGGGAGGAATATTTCTCTTAGCATGACACCATTTATGGATGATCCGTTGAATATTATAATTAGCTTTAACGGCAGTCTTAGTTTTAATAAGAGTTTGAGCTAAGTTTGATTTCATTTAAGGTAAATTTTAATATTGAGTGATGATCGATACGTTTTTACTGCTTTCAAAATAATGATTTTCGCTATTTTTTAAAAATAATATTTATTTATGCGACCACAAATACATATGGACTTTTAATTCAAAACTATATTTATAACCCACAACCTGGAGAGTCTTAAATTAAACCAGCAACTTACACGGTTAATTATACATTTTGCTGGTGGGTAAGTCTTGTTAGTTGTACAGACAACAGAGACATCCTTGCCATCATTTGATAAGAATGGAGGATTACATGTGTTGTTTGCTGGTAGTGCTTGAAATAAGTATATTATAAAATAACAATTAGTATTAAAAATATTAATACTTACCCTTTAAGTAAATCTTTACATAATTAATTTAAACACAATACAGAATCACTACTAGATTTACTCACATTACACGTTGTTTTTTCACTTCAAATTACCAAATTGTGAATAAATGTTAAATAGATAACTAGATATTGTCGATTTTTTACGTACACGGCAGTATTTCAGCATCCTATTTTGTTTAATATTTACAATGAATCGGCAAAACCAAAAGCTAAGTTTTGTCTTTACACATTAATTGAATGCATTGATTACGTATGTGTCAGTACAACTAAACAACAAACATGTATTTGGTACTAATTACATTCACTTAACAACATGTAGTTTAAAGACAATGTGTTTATCCTACGTTTTCATGTCTAAAATATACATACATGTATAATGTTATTGAGTCAGGCCGAACGTTTCCCAGCCTGCATGTATGCATTTAAATTT